ACTACGCTAATAGCAAATCCACGATTCGCTCATCGAAGCATCACTCTCTTCTTTCAAATTCTTTATAATAGATACTAAATATAAGCGCGGTGATCCGAAGATTTTTAAAGTCCGCGGTGTAAAATAGAATTACATACTTAATTGATGTTAGCTATACATAAAATAAGCATAACTATATAGACATACAAAGCTTTAGATGGAAGCATATATAACGCATCGAATAAAGTGCATATCGCGATCTCTACGTATATATGCAAGGTATCCCAGAATGATTGCCAAATATTTCGTGTGCTGATAGAGCGGACTAAATTGGGTCGAAAAGTTCTGTACTATTTTGCAATTTTCGCAATAATTAACAAAATATTAATTAATAACCAAAAATCGCCAAATATTATTTTTCAATAATTTTTTCAAGTAAGTACTATTAACTTTACAGAAAAAAAATTGTTTATTTTCTTCTCATAGAGCTCTAAGAATTTTTTCAAAAATTTTTATCAACTTTTTACTGCATTTTCTTATTTTTATCAACATGAGAAAATACGATATTAAAAAATTCTGTAAAAATTCTTAGAGTTCTATGAGAGGAAAATAAACAATTTTTGCCTCTTGTTATTTTTCTGTAAAGTTTATAATACTCTAATAAAAAATGATTAAAACTCAATATTCAGTGATTTTTAGTAATTTAACAATTACGAAAATTACAAAATGATAGAAAACTTTTCGACTCAGTTTAGACTGCTCTATCAGCATACGAAATATTTTTTCAGCATACGAAACGACAGTTATTCTGGGATATCCTCTGTGTGTGTGTGTGTGTGCGCGCGCGCGCGCGCGCGCGTGTAGTGTGCAGTTAATATTCTTTCGTTTTTCATCAATCATGAACAATATAGAAATTGATATTCATCAGCTCGGCGCAATTTAATTACATTTTACGCGTTGGGTCTTAACTTACTTAATACTTTTATAATTAAACCAATTTATAATTAATCATAACATAAAGCAGTATTAGAATTTACTTGCACATTTCGGCCGATTTTTAGTTTGGTTCTTATTCCTTACTTCATCAAGCCGTGCGCAGCCTAAGCATTAGCCAGTTAGCATTAGGCTGCGCGCGGGTTAAAATAAGAGGCAGGAAACCAAGCTGAAAATCAGCTGAAATGTAAAGTAAATGCAAGTAAATCCTAAATGTAAAATAAATGCAAGTAAATCCTAGTACTGATATAAAGTAAAAAGAACGCGAATTGCCTTTAAAGGCAAAATATATTTAATTAATCATATGTTGAAGTATTTATAATTATAGTATTAATAATTACCTAAACAAAGTTATCATATCATTCTTTGTTGTAAAACTTGAGATTGATATTCCATCAAATCATCCCCAAATGCATTTAAGGGGATCCTAAAGTATTACCGACTAAACTATATAACTTTTGTATCAATAATTACTTTTTTTCCTCTCTTACTGATTTAAAAATCCTTCCAGGATTAAAATATACGCATTAATACGTGTCTGTGAGGTGGAGTTCATGGTGAGAACGAAAAAATTTTGAAATTGAATTCTCAATATGGCATTCCAGAGCTGTCGTGACAACATTTGCTTCAAAAGTTGTGTAATTTATACTTATGAAATAGTAATCCACAGAGTAATAGTTTGCATGAAGAAACAGCGTGTAATTCTTAACATTGGATTTAGACGTTTAATTAAAATACAATTGTTATGAAAATTTATGTGTATGTGTGGCGTACGTGAGTGAGATATTGATGTAGTCAATAACACGTAAATTATCTGTGTGTTATTTATAATATGACTAATCATCTTTAGGATCCTCTTAAATATGTATAAATTTAATGGTTCAAGTTTTATAATATTATAATGGGACTTACTACAAGTATAATAATGCAATTTCGCGGAAATATGAAACAAGAGATTTTTTTCGCTCTGATCTATTCCATAAAACACAGAATACTTACACATATTTATTCTATCCTAATATACATCGTATAGATGATTTCAATAACTCTTATTATTTGATTTAATTTTTCAGCCTACCTTTTTTCTTCTTTTAAAAATAAATTGGTAAATAGTGCACTATTAGAAGAGGTGGAATATTCATACGCAACTAAATCGACAGAGCTTTAAATATTTAATTTAACTTTTCATTTAAATATTCAATTAACAATATTCGATGCGGTAAATGCACACAGTGCATGTGCGATTAAAAAGCTACACAACACCTTATAAAGAGGCCTTTAATAACCTCATTGTTATGTCAATAATGCTCACTAATGCAAAAATGATCATTTTATAAGAAAAAATTTTCACGAATCTATCGATCGAGTGTGAAATACGTTACTAAACAAATCTATGGATATACTTTTGTATATAATAGAGTATGGTGATTTTAATAATTTAATTGCAATTTTACTCTTGTTATATCGACGCTTATTCAATTCTAACATTGCTTCAAAAGGATAAATGTGCGTGCGTACGCGCGCACGCGCGCGCGTGTGACATACCATATACACGCACATCTGTATATAAGTTATATACTGTACAATAACGTTATAATAGTGCACTTTGTGGCTGCGGAATATCTTTCATGTTGATGTTTCTGATGCATTCTACGCCAAAGACAACATATGACATCAATTTTAGTATTCCGAAACTTTATTATTATATTTAAACCATGATTGTAATATCTTTGCCTTAATGATACGCAAAACCATGTATAATCATTAATCCGACGTGCTCCAAAAAGAGCGACAAATTTTAATAAATTCGAGAACATTAATAGCAATGTAATTAATTAATTGAAACACGAAGTAAAAAACGTTAAAGAATTATGCTACCATCAGAAAAAATAATTGAAGTAAATGGTTACGTATGTGTGTACTAAGAAATATTATTAGGCCTTATTAATATTAATAAAGAAATATCCTACATGTTAATACTTGTGATTATATGCGAAGTTTATAGATTTTTTTTTGTTCATGAATGAATTCATAATTCACTATGACAGGAGAATACGCAATGACACGTAAGATACGAGCTTCAGCTGTCGGTGTTTTTCTAAATTCATTATTTAAGAAGACATTCAACGTTCTATTGTAATGAAAAATATTCTTTTTTTTAATTGCACTTCGATTGAGTTTCTCTCGGATCACTGCGTAAACGTTTATTTGAAATGAAAGCATAAGTCGCCCAGTATATAGTAGTACACAAGCTTTACAGAAAATATTACGAATCTTATATACAAAACATATATAATAAAATAAGCTTGTGCCTGTTTAATAAACTATTTTTCCTAAATGTCATAAATATTTCATGCAAGAACGTGTACTATATAATCTTGAAGCACGTCGTTGCTTTGCAAATAGGCAAGAGTATCTAATTACAAGTCATCGTATATATACATATATTAAACCGCAAGCATAATCAGGAAGCTTTCTTCGAGAAAATAACTATAAATAATACAAAATACAACGTCACTCCTGGATGTGCTTGCTGAATGTAATGTTACTCGTTATACATTGTACGTAGTATTGATCATCATTATACTCAGTAGATACATCGTATCTATATATTGTTAATTTAGACTATTCAGAGAGAGAAAGAGAGGGATGGAGAAGAAAAAGAACAGAAGAGAAGGGATGGGATAGAAAGAGAAGAGAAAGGGGATTTCATGACTTCGGATTTTCATACAAAATCCTTGAAGCATTCTACGCTATATCACATCCTATGTCTGAGCCCATTTTTTTTTGTTTATATCTCGTAAATATTATGAAGTATCTTTCATTTTCTTATATAGTATACATATATGGCATATATATATTTTTTAAATAATTACAAGAGAAAAAAGTGACAAATGTTATAGGAAGTAAAGAGAAATAGAGAAATTTTATGATGATTCTGTGTAGTATAATGCTTTTGTCATTAAAGAATTTTGTTCAGAACAAGTTGGATATACATTCGTGAGTTTTAGTTACATACTTTTCCAACAGCATGACATTTTTTCATCTATCGCATCACTGTCAATGATGTAGTTAATATTTTTTTCAATATTATAATTCAAACAAATATATAGTATCAGATGCAGTCAACATGATAATGCCACAATATTTATATCAAACTCGCTCTTCAACGATGGATATTTTATATAATTAATGCGCAAAATTAAGCTATCAATCATATTATCAAATTCTGGTAGACTTTCCAGGATGGATTCACTGGACACAAATATCATTTTAGAAAGAAATCCATATTTCGTTAACAAGATTATTTATTAATTTTCACACTTTCGCACAGCGTGAAAATAATAATGAAATCGGATTAATTCTATGCTAAAATCTACTTTGTTCTTTTTTTTTTACACATATATGCATATATATATTTATTTCAATTCATAACATTTTTCCTGACTGTCAATACTTTGATTCCAGTTCTGAAGTTTAAAATGTTAAAATTTAAAATTTTATTGCTTAATTTGAATTGATTTTGGAACACCATAATCAAATCTAAAACATTAAAGATAATACTGTATAAGATAGATATAATATTTACGTATATAAATATATATATGTATGTGTATACACATATATATTCATATTAATATTTATATTCATTGTACTTATATATATATGATATAGATATATTTTTATGAGATTGTTTCCAACATAAAAATATAATGCAATACAAATATGTTACGTATACACATGTATATGTGTATGTATGTATGTATATATGTACAGATTTGATTTCAAAAGCATTAATTAAATTCATAGAATACCATGCAAAGAGGAAGCCACAGAGAAAATGAGACAGGAATAAATTAATTATTTAACGAAATTATGTTATATAAAGATCTATTCAAAAGGAATATTAGTTCATTCTCAACCCTGAACAGTCTACCAATCTACTTTCCGCGCAACTTAAATGAATACTCATATACATTATGTTATTAAGGATAAAAATCCGAAAAACTGTGGGAATATCTATTTACTTGATCTTGAACGCATCCATCAGCTCGTTCACAGCAGCCTGTGTCGCAGCCTGTGTCGCAGCTTGCGTTATCCTTTGCTGTAGACCACCCCCTCGACTAAACACATCACGGACCCAACTTTGACTACTGATCTCACTTTTGCAATTTATTTCAGGGACATACATCATATGTTTAACGTTGCTAACTGTTAACTTATGATGCGTGTCTTGTGTATAAAAACGTGCATAATGCCTTTTTAAATGTGTAGCCGAGATAAAGTAACATTAACGATATGTAGCTTTATAACTAGAGCCCGGATTAGCCACCAATCGTTGTACCGATTTGAGTTGACCGTAACATATTCCTCATGATTCTCCTCATTTCCATTTGCGCGCAATGTGGGAAATGACAGTACGGCGGTGGGAAAATGAAGTGAGGAAAGCTAGCTACGGTTGATACAATCTCAAAACTTTAATCTAGGCTCTATTTATAACAGCAGTTACAAAAATGTTTTATAATAACGATATGATGTTTGTTCAATATTCAAAGGCAACTTTTAAGTTGTTAGACTAAATTCTTTCATTTATAAATACATAATAATTATAATATATGCTATTTTGTTACTTTTGATAAATCGTAATGCAGGCACCGACATATTTGTCCACAATTAATAATTGACAAGTTTCGGATTATTAGTCTTCATATAAAATATTTTGGATAAAAGATATATAGACATATAAAGTAGAAGTGCTTATGCTTAAAAAGTTTTGAAATTACATTAAAAGGCGTATGTATATATCTTAGATTTTACACAAATGTATCGATGATAAATATGATTGATAGAAAAAATTAATAGATTTTTTTTTCGAAGTCATTTTTTAAATTTAGTCGCATTTTGCCAAAATGTCATGCTGTTAGTAAGTAAATAAATTATCTATCTGTTATAAGAACGTAAAGTCCTTTATTTGATAATATTTTCAACGGTATATACATATATGATATACATCTTCATAAAGATAATTTACAATTGAACGTGTATGACTCGACTATGTATATATATTTTTATTTATATTAAGAACAAGAAGATATTGTATCTTTGAAAATATTTAGTGTTATAGATTTTACTATTAGTGGCGTTAAACCTACAACTACAATTAGGGTTGTATTAATCTCTGTGCCAGAAATAATATTATACATATATAAAAAAAATATATATACGATATGTAATATAAATATATTAAGCTAAAAATTATTATAAACATTCACGCAATATAAATATTAAATAAATAGAAATAATATCATAGAGGAAAAATATAATTACTCTTATCCTTTCTCAAATCTTAATCACTTAAAAATACGTCGTTGTTGTGTTATACAGGTGAAATATACTAGAGAAATTGCTCGACATTGGGAAGGGAATTCAATCAGATTCCGGAAACACAAAAAAGTGCAGGACTTATATAATTAAAATAATTTTCGTGTCATTTTCACATTCCTACTTAATTAACATTGATCATGTAATTTCTCATAGTATATATAGACAATAACGATAACATTAGGAAAGAGAGAAATATTGTGTTTTGTGTAAAATACACTGTCTATAATGCAACGGATACGGTATTAATTAGTAGCGAATAGGCGAGTTAGTGCGAAGACTTATTGTCGGCGCCTGCAATAGAAAGGGAAGTTAGCACCCAAAAGCCCCAGCACAAAAGCTACTGTTTAATATATGCAAGATTCTCAAAGAAAGCTGCAAATTTTACGTTTTCGATTATATATCGCTTTTATATCGTTATTGCATCATTATATTTCGAACACATAATCAACAAGGAGCGTTATTGTGCAGCATAAAATTTGTAGCTTAGAAAAAATTGTGATCAATAGAATGTTAAAATCGCGATTGAGAAGTTTTTTCTGATACAATTAATTAGAATTTTCGTAGAGTTTTTTTAAGTGTATGTATTCAAAAATTATATTATACTCACGATGGTATCATAGGTGGAGGTAGGCCAGGATTAGCTCGCGTTGGTGGTGGTCCACCTGGACCAGGTCTATTAGGAATGGCTGGTGCTGGCCGGCCGCTTCCAGGTACTGGTGGTGGTGCTCGAGAGCTAGAAATAGGTGGTGGCTGTGTCACTCCACGTCTTGGACCACCAGGAGATGGTGGCGATAATCTAAAATATAAAATATATTTACAATCGGTTTTAATCAACTTCTGCATCATTTCAGCGTGTCAAACATGTTCATCCAAAACAAAAAGAAGAATGCAACTAATACAAAGAAGTAATGCATAAAATCTTCGAATGTATAACATAGTCTATATAATTTTTTAATATTATTATTCAAAGATATAAACAATAAAATAATTGAGATTGAAGATATGAAATATTGATTGATTAAATTAAGATATTGATAAATGATTAAATTCAAATTCTAGCTTAATAAAAATTTTTATAAAAATATCACTACTCAGAAAAATCTATTAATGAGAAAAGCATGCATAATATGAACATGATGTTTTGTACAACAAAATGACCGCATTTTTCTTATCAATAATACAGTTCATTAAACTAAAAAAATAAAGATAAATACGCCATATGTAAAAAAATCTTACCCAAGACTGTTTCAACGGTGTTCAAATGGCAAAGCAGACGGTACAAAATGTAAGGATGATAAATTAGTAAAATGCGCGATAGATCATTTTAGGAATAACATAAAGGTTACCTTGGGTTGTCGCCGGATATCAGCCAATCGTTCTTCACGGGTGGTGGTACTGGAGTTGAAACTGTGGCCATAGAGACATCTCCAATGATACGAAGCGCCTCTTTGCATGCATGATACATGCGTAACATTTCCTCTCGTTTCTGCGCTTCTTCAGGAGATTCTTCCATCATTGAAGCCTATAATTATATATACACATTAAATTTTTTTCAGATATAAAAATATAAAAATATAAAGACGTAGAAAGAAATCAGATACATAAATGTCAGAACCAGAGTTGAGAAGCAACTAGTTACTTGTAAGTTAAAGTTACTTTTTTTTCAATAACTTTAACTTAACTTTGTTCTATTTTTTTCCAATTGTAACTTAGTTACATTTCTTTTAGTAACTAATTTGAATTATTTTATTATTATTAATTAATTTGAATTACTTTTACAGCTACTTTGCATATTTTAAATTAATATGTCAATTTAATTGATTAAAATCTGAATAGTTATATTACTGCCGCTACTGGTTGCGTAGAAGATAAAGGCAACGTTTAGAAGACAAATAGTAATTTAATTTTGTTTATTGTTAATATTCACTGCAAATCCTTTATTTCTTATAACCTAATTATCTATAAGAATATTACGTTAATAATTTAACAATTAATCTTGCTTATCGATATCTACTGATATCTAATCCTTATCTCTGAAGAGCCATTTACAATAAAAGTAATATGTAGTAGGTTATAAATCGTGAGAAATTGATGAAGAGAATAATCGATTATGATTGATCAATTTTTTACAGCTTATTTATTACTCTCATTGTAGACGATCCATAAAAATAAATTATTTGTACGAATATCGTAAAGTAACTAATAACGAAGCGATAATAGTAGAAAACATAAAATTACTGTTACATTTTTTCTTATATTTTTTACCATAATTTGTTCGATTCGCTTACTGCTTACATCTTATTGCCTTACATTTTTCTATGCGTTTCTGACTTAACAATTCTATTTCTTAAATAAAATTGTATATCATGTAAAAACGTAAATTTTTTTCTCTAGTTCTAACAATATTAAAATATATTATCTATATTGTTCTGTAATCACTACAAAAAAAAAAAAACTAAAAAAATAATAAAAAATTATTTTTGAAGTAACTGCAACTTGTTATTTTTTAGAGTTGATATCTTATAATGGTAGTTGTTTTTACAAAGTAACTTTCCCAATCTTGGCAAGAATATTCAAAATTTTAATATAGTCAAAAATTAAATTAAACTTATTATATTTAAAAAATAATAAACATATTTTTCTTGATCCAAATGCTCGAAAAAAAAAAAAGGATAAAGGAAAGGCAAGGTGCATTTATAGGGTTATTGTCAGATTATTTAATTCATCATTGGTTGACTAGAAAACAATGGGAAAAATTAGTTTATATAATTTTAAATAATAAAATCATAAAAATGTATCAAAAACAATGAAAGTCAACGCTGGAAATCAATTGCGCAAAAAATTATAGAGATAACGAAAATTTTGTACGTTTCGGCACCGTTTTAAGCCATCTTCAGCACAATAAATAATAATAAATAATAAATTAAATCGTGGAAACGCATTTATGATTATGACTGCAATGTAAGGAGTTCCATTATTAATATTTTGAATGTTATACAAAGTTGTAGTATAGTTGCATATCTGAGTGGAAGTATGATAGTCAGTCTCAAGCTAAAGAATTATAAAGATTTTAACGTGGCAACATATTATAATGGATGGAGAATTTTTAAAAAATCATAATACTGCTCACCACATAGCTGCCGTAACCATCATTAAAATATATCATTAAAATTTAATGCGAATCAATCAAAAGTCGTCACAAATTAAAATTAAATTAAAATTAAAGAATAAAAGAACAAAAGAGCAATCATGTTGATTTGTAATATGCTCAGTAATAACTGTCGCGCATGTTAGAACAAAGAAAGTACACATCAATCAATTTGAATAAACAATATTATAGTTTATGGAGAATTTTTATGTACGTGTTGTTTAAAGCCGCTGAATTTGTTTTATTTGCATGTTAAAACCTTAGATTGTAGATTTACATACTTAATTTCAGACATTAATCGCTTATAATAAGATCTCTCTTCCAGAATTCTTTTCCATATCGGTTTTACCAATCATAAGCTGCATTACAATCAAAGTTCATCAATTGCAATGCATCCTATAATCGGTAATGACCGAATGAGACGATGTCTTTCTGCGAATATGGTTTCGGTATTTCGATAGTTTTATCATTAACTTTCTACCTGTATGACCAACATAAGATGCATCACAATTGATCTTCTATACTATATTCCTTTTGGAAGAGGATCTTTATGTACTTTGATGAATTTATTCAAGTATTAATACTATATTATAGTATGAAACTTTTTGACATATATAAATTTATTGAATTTATTGGAGATACCATTAATAAATGGAATAATGAACCATTTAATTTTTTTTTTTGAATGTTCTTATGCTAATTATTATATTGTTCGATTTTTTAGTTAATTTTTTTATCCTCTTATTCTATTCTTCTAAAAATCCAAAAGATAATCGTTCTCCAATAAAATATTAATTATGAATTCCAAGTTCTTTTGGTGAAATTCTAGATGTGAAAGAGAAGGCTTGTCAATTAAACTTAAAATGCCCCTCTTTTCAATATCAACAGATGTATGATTACGGCGACTATGTGGTGAGCACTATTATGATTTTTTCAAAATTCTCTATCCATTGTAATATGTTGCAATGTTAAAATCTTTATAATTCTTTAGCTTGAGAAGATTAATCATACTTCCATTCAACTATGCAACTGTTTGGTACAACATTCAAGATGTTGATAGTAAAGCTCCTCACCACATTGCAGTCATAATCATGTAACGGGAATCACGTAACGGGAATGCGTTTCCACGATATTGTGGTTTAATTTATTATTATTTATTGTTGTATTATTATTTATTGCTGCAGATGACTCGAAACGGAATCGAAACATATAAAATTTTCGTTATCTATAGTTTGTTTTTTGCGCAATTGACTTCCAACACTGACTTCTAATTGTTTTTTGTATATTTCTATAATTTTATTATTAAGGAGTTTTTATTAATCGATTTATTGAAATCATTGTATTTAACTTTAATATTATATAAAATCTTTAAGGAAAAATGGATTTTGCAATGACTATCGTATAAACACAATACAATATTATATTAACATAATGTTTTACCTGATCGCCACTTGCATAAAGATGTGCCAACAGTTCCCCATTGATGAAATCCTTAGCGTTATTAATAATAAGATGCATAATTGTCTTTGGAACCAGATCGCGAGTAGTTTTCGTGACAATCTTCATATAAGAATCTACTAAGTTTCTAATAGTTTCTACTTGACGCTCCAGTTGAGGATCCATTGATGATTGACCCTCTGAACCACCCTAAAGAAATAAAAATAATATAAATACATTCCGAACCGTTCAATATCGCATAAAAGAGATATCAGAGTTTTGGGATGACTGAATATTTTTATTATCCCATCCATACTATCATAAAAAAAATATAGAAGCTATTAAAATTTTGTTGGTATAAAATAGTTACTCTCTTCTTTCATTTTTTCTAATATCCAGACTAAAATATTTATCCATAAATCTAATTTACACGAACATTTCATTTCAAATTTAAAAATAAATTTTTTACAGTATCTTATGTTAAGACCATCTCTGAAAGCTTTGTATCGATAGCACGAAAAACTAAAAAAATAGCACATTCCATTCCGAATACCTTAAAAAGATTTATAAAAAGAGGAAAAGATGATTACATTCAAAGATGCATCACGACTGATTTATAAAATAACTTGATTACATCTTATATTGGCCAAACTAAAGGACAGTTAAGTCTAGAGTAAAAGAACATATTTCAGACATAATAAAAAAAGTGAATTTCCTTCTATCGTTTCTAGCCGTAGAGAGAGGAGGGGAGGGGAGAGAGAGGTTGAAGGGCGAGGGGGAGGGGGGGGAGGGGAAAGAGAGAGAGAGAGAGAGAGGGAGATTACAGTACAACAATGAATTTATTTGGAATGGAAAGTTAAAATAATGGATAATGAAACATCATATAAAAATATCTATTTCAGAGATGATCTAAAAAAAAAAAAAGCTTAAATAAACAAAGTGATATTGAATTATTGTCAGATTCATATCTACCGATCTTTGATTTGTTATTCCTAACTCTAGTCCTCCATCCATTTTTTTCCCGTTCCATCAAAAACTAACCCCCCCCTCCCTTGTGATTTTTCCTTGTCGGTTCATATCATTTTCATTTTAAATGTATCTGTCAAACTGCTACTTGCGATTTATTTCTTTGTCAATGATAGCGATATGCTTGTTTTCTCCTCAAGTATGTATTTGATTATTGTTAATATTATTGTAAAATTATTGGTTTAAGAACTTTTACATTATTGCAATATTGATTTTTGTAATAGACATTAATTAACTGTTAAGTCAATTGAGGAGAACAAAATGGATATATAGCTCATTCATATTAGCCACGAAAATCTGAGATTTACCATGACCGTTACCATTTGATGTATGCCCACTGAAGATGACTCGATGTGAGTCGAAACGTTTATAACATTGAAGAATATATTTTATTGTTAAATTTATAGCACGACAATCCTGCTTAGATCCTTTTGAATTATTTCGTTTTTAAATTTCTGAGTTTATAATATATTGATTTCTTAAAAACAATATTGTTTAAATTTTATATATTGTGCTTGTATTTTTAAACAATTTAATTACTAAGGCATATTAAGAAGGCAAATATCAGATAACATTCGTAGCATTATTAATGTAACAAGTATTGAGCAAATCTAGGAATATAATCGAAATATAGAATAATATTCTATAATATTAGAATTTTCTGCAACAAAGTGCTTGATTGTAGAGGTGTTCAGTGCTTAGATGTAAGTGTCGTGCGCTTTGTAATTGAAAACACGATTGTACCAACCTCATATCCTTCCTTTTTAGTTGATTCAAATATGAGACAAAAAAAGAAAACGATTTCTATTATGCACTCAATACAAAAGATTATATTATTAGTTTTATTTTAGAAACGTATATAAAAACCCACGTATTCTATATAAACATCTCAAATACAGTCTGTAGTATTCATAAGACAATAAAAATATAAAACAATGTATTTATTAATAATATCCACGTGTAAAATAATGTTAAAAATTTTAGCATAGAAAATTTTGCAAAATTTAATATTAATTTTACACTTTATCCACCGCATGTAATATTGTAGCAATATTACAAATTTGCTGTAATATTGCATAGTAATATGTTAATAATATTGTATAAATACCGACGCAATATTAAATGTCCGTTGCAAATTTATCACAAAAATATTATATTTTCACAAAATATGTGATATTTTTGTAATATTATTATATAATATTAGGCAATATTTCAACATATTATTGTAATATTAGGCAATATTTCAACATATGCGATGTATTTTGCAATATTGCGATAGTATTTCTATGTACTGCAGTAATATTACATAGTATAAATAGTATATAGTTGCAATAATAAATGTCCGCAAAAAATTCATCGCAGGAATATTTCTGTGATATTTCTGTAACATATCATAATGTGGCAGCAGTATTGCAGCAATACTGCCACATTATGATATATTACAATAATTAATTCAGTTTATTAATTGCTAAGTATTTGTTTAATATTACACTCTAAAGTAATATTACATTTTGCATATAATAAACAATATTAAGAATCTTTATTTTAGACCACATATGTGAGAAACACAATCAATATTAGAAAAACTATTACGGTTGAAGCTGGATCTTCATTGCTTTAAACTCAATCTTGAATAAAAATACACTATATATGTACGTGCATATATATCATATTGTAGTTTTTTAAGCATTTTTCTAGTTGCGCAGTTCTAAAAAGAAACAACAAATATAATATGTATGCAAATACATATATAGTGTATATTAGTAATTTAAGATTGAATTATTTAAAGTAATTTAGATCCAGCTTCAATCGTAATAAGCATTTTTCTAGTATTGATTGTGTTTTTAACATATGCGATCTAAAATAAAGATTCTTAATATTGTTTATATTACATCGCCTGAAAGAAAGACGTTGTTTCCTTATTGTACTGATTATTGCGAAGCATATTACTAAGGCCTTGGTGATCTAATGGTTTAAGATCGTACGGAATACAAGAGGGTTCAAAGTCCCAGTCGAAGTTATTGCGAAAATATTTTTCGCAATAAATTTATCAACAGTTTCAACATATTAACAAGCATTTTTCTAGTATTGATTGATAAAGTTATGATAAAAAAAAATTCGGAGGCCTTGAAAGCATTCCCAAAAAAAGTTGGTGGGAATCTCCAGGAGACACACCAATTCTATTTGCGTACTTTTTCTTCTAGGACTACTGGACGTTTTCTTCTTACGAGTAGCTCTTGTGACTGGGCCGCATATTTCCCTTCAGCACAATATTACAAAAATTGCAGTGATATTGCTGCACTATTAAAATTATAATATTTTATTGGAAATATTATAATTGATACAATATTGTAAAATATTGTAATTTTAATCCTTATCCTACAAGTATGAGTTACTAATGACTGAGCGATTCCTGTTCGTGCAAATTTCTCGCAAGTTCGATGAATCCGGCGCTTATTATTTCACTAAACAAAAAGTTTGTGGTGGGGGAGACCTATGCGCGGCGGGGCGACTTTGACCGTCATCTGCCTGTGACTGGCATGCAGTTCAGTCGTTAGTGACTAACATAGGGTGCTTTTTGTGAAAAATAAAAATTGTATCAAAATCATTATAAGTATTCTATTTTCATTCTAAATTAAATGTCTGAATATTTGTTTTCATTAAAAAATTTTTTTTCTAAAAGAATTATTTATTTTTTAGACAAAATGGAGCTGAAGAGGCTAGTCACGCCTTTCTTTACATATTTATCTAAATGTGTGTTAGATTTTTTTTTAAATACACTATTTTACAGCAAAATAAAAAAAAATACATATTTTAATATCGATTTTTCCTATTTTCCCTTATTAAAAATTATTCATATTTATAAGTTTAAATAATTCAACTTTTTGTAGAATTCGAAATTCTAGTATTTTTGTTTTCAAAACTTCATATCTAAACTACAAAACCCTGGAGTCATTTTTTTATATACATTTATTATATTGGAAAGTTATAATTTTTTTAAATCAAATGCCACTTTTTCTCAACTTATGAGTCTTACGGTAATTATAAATTATACTACATTTGATTATTTTCCAAAATAAAGTTCTAATATTTATTCTAGAAAGTTGAAAATATGTTGGTGAATTTTTAGAGATGTTTTTGAATCATTCTGAATAGATAAAAAACGGATTCTAATAATCCACGTTTTTATGGATGAGGCACCAAATTGTAGCTTGTACGATAAAAGTTAATTTTGTAGAAAATATTGCAATATAATATATTGTTGCAATATTTCAATAAACAAGTGCCCACGAAAGAGATATGCTTCTCATAAAAAGAAAAATTTCCAGAAGTTCTATAAGGAGTATGCGAAGGAGATTCCCTCCTGAAGATTCCCAAACCTTTTTGAATGTAATTTCTAGGCCTCCGAATATATCTTGATCATAACTTTATCGTTTGGAATATAATGCTAAGTAATAATATGTTAGAATTAATAAGAGGAATAATTCTTGAAATATTACATAATTTTATAGCAACATATTTGCAATATTTCTCTAACTATAATCTGTTGAATTATAATACTGCAACAGTAAATTGCAATATTTTCTACAAAATATTTTTCAATACTGTTGTAATACATTCAATAAAATATAAAAAATTCAACATTACAAGCAATACTGTTGCAATTTTTATAATATTGCTGCAATATTTCGTATTGTAGGGATAGTCATATTTAAACTCTTATATTTCAAAGACTATTATTTAAAACAAAAATTCATAAACGTTTTATTTTATTTTTTAAACTTTACTATTATATTATATTTTGAACGGCAAATGTTGAAACATCAACTTGTATATATTTCAATTGTATGATGTATTTGGCCCCGGACATAATAAAAAAACATTAAGAATAGGAGAAAAATATTGAATATTGGAGAGATAAAAAAATTGTAAATGATATTACATATAACTGTAATAGATACAAATAAGATATAAGACACAAATCGCTTATTTGTATCCATTGTGAGTTATGTTCAATCTATATTCCTAATCTTTTTATATTTAATATTTATTTACATTTAATATTTATTCAATAATAAATCACAATATTATTCATATATTAGAAAGAGGGCACTGCGATAAAATGCATTGTAATATTTCAACGCTGTTGCAGTAATATTACAATGCAATATATCACATTGCAATATTTGAACGTATTTGTGGTAATACTGCTTTGCGATATGTCGTACTGCAATAATTGGATGACATTATAGCAATATTGTAGAATGATATCACCACATGATCAATGATCATCACATGTTGTAATATCTCAACAAAATTATTATTGCAATATTACATTCTAATACATTGTAATATTTCAATAGTATTTATGTAATATTGCAAATAATCTCACTGTAATATTACATGAAATATTACATGTGTGGGTAATTCTATCTTAATCGTGATTGTAAAAACCAAATAGAGCCTATTTTTCTAAGTAATTCTAAAGTAATTCTAAAGTAATTCTTTTTGTTAGTTGCATTTAACAAATGTAATTCAAACCGCTGTACAGTTAAAGAGTCAAAAGCAAAAATCTCTTTTTCATTAACTTACCCTCTGCTTATCCTAAAATAAATTGAAATAAATTCTAATAAATATAAATTAACTTGTCATAAAACAGATTTAGAAAAAATATTTTTCTTTATTTAGATAAAAATTTTTTTGGTATTTATTTAGAACATAGTCCTCACCTCCGATTTTGATAAAATTAGCCTCATTTGACGTGTTTTTACACGAAATGACAAAATCTGTAAGAAAAACCTGGTCAGCCCCGCGAACCGAGATATTAAGCATTAAGCTGATTCTACAATGAATCGGTAGTCGATAGAAATTTTAGAAATCTTATAATCAGAATTTGACGAAAGTGGACACAATTTTTGATTGGTTTTCCACCTTGGTTCACTCGATATTCTTCGAATAGTTTCGTACATTGTCGGAAAACGAATATGAAGAAAAAAAAGAGATGGATAGCTATAAGTAAATGAGTAAAACCTGTGTCAAAGAAGTTAGAAATCTCGTTCCGAGATCTCTGGCAAAAAGAAAATTAACAAATTACAATTGCACAATTCGGCCAATTGATCAACTCGATTGGTTCTTTTAAGTATTGTCTTTATGTATTACCTATTACATTCTACACTTTTTGCGCACGCGTTCATACGAGAAAGCAATATCTCTTTCTATCCGCCATTTTTGGTCCACACTCTGATAGGATCTCTAGTCGCTATGATAGATTTTCTAATCTTAATAGTCGTCAACTTTAACGCTTAATATTTCAGTTCGCGAGGACAACTCGATGTTTTTTCTTATAGATTCTTTCGTTTCGTATAAAAAAACGCGTCGAATGAGTCTAAGTTTACCAAAATTGAGATGACTGTATTCTAAATAAATACCTTCTTTTCATAACAGATAAAAAATTATTGTAAAACTGATTCAAATGCTTGATAAATAAATTATTCTAAATTATTTAGAAGGTAATTATATAGTAATTATATAAATACTTGATAATAAATTATTTAGAAGGTAATTATACAATTTAGCACCAACGACCTCAAAAATCAATAAAATTAGGCTTATTCGACGCATTTTTACATGAAAGAATCTGGCAGAAAAAATGTAGCTTTCTTCTTCTTTGGTGATTAATGGCTCTGGTTCTCGTTGACGAGATAAACTTGGCCAGTCGTTTCCTAAATTCTTCCAACCTTCCACAGGAGTAGGTATAATCGGAATGCAATGCATTTCGGTCACCTCGAACCGGACAGAAATAATAAATAAGGGATGATGCGAAAATGGAAGATGCCTCTAGAAACTGGACGCCTGCGACTACGATATTTTGGCGCAGACGCGTCCAGACGAATAAAGGGACTATCGGTGATATAATACAATGCACAGTCGAAGTCGGCCATGCTTTTCAAAAAATATATTTGAGGTGATGCAAACATTCGAAACGAGATGACCCGCTCGAATGCTCGCGTAAGAAAAAAAAAAAATGTAGCTCTGCCCCACGAATCGAGATATTAAGTGTTAAGGCTTATCTACACGACGTAACACGGTGTAAGGGCGCAAAAGAATTATTCCCGGTCATAATGACGTGCGGAACTGCGCAACGAAAATAAATTAATTTTATTTCCAACACCTGTATCCACATTGTACCTGGCACGGTTATATTATGTGGTTACATACATGGTTTGGATCCTTAAAGAGCGGTATTCACAATCCGTTCTTATTTTAAGACCGTCTTAAATAATGTCTAATACGGCCTTTTGATTGATTCGTGACTTCTTAATACCCATAGTTCTTCCTTGAGGAATGAAGATTCCTTGTTCCTTATTTCATGTTTCATAAACCTTCCTTGACCAAATAAGGAGCCTTATTAGTTTTCTTTTCTCAAAGTAAGTTACGAATTTCCTTGAGGAAGAGATATAGCCTTTTTAACTAAGCAAATCTCCAAATTTAATTCGTCACAGCGGTTTTTTTATTTTCGATAGTTTTTAATTTAAATCTGACGCATCGATAATTATTTTTAATAGCTTTTTTTTCGGAAATAAACCCCTCTAAAAGCATTTTCTCCTTTTTCTTATAATAAGTATTATAGTGAATTCGATTGGAAGCACTGATGTATATATTATAGCCATTGTATACTAATTTGAGTATAAAAATAAAATATTTCGAATTATAAAATACATATTTTATTTAACAATACAATAAAATGTATTGAGTATTTTACAATTTAATCGATTTCTATGTTTATTTATAAACATATATTTATTTTGTGTATAGTGGTTTTAATGTGCATCAGTGCGCAATGAGTGCTTCCAATCAAATTCGCTATTAGTTTTATTTTTGTCCATTATTGTTGCAAAGTGCTTAATCACGACCTTATTTAATCAATAATGTCTTTATAATCTTTATTAGTCGTAATTCACGATATTAGGTATGCATATATTACATATTATGACATGCTACCCTCAGTAGGTTACTAAAATCCCTAAAATATTCTTTTCTTCGGGAAGGCAGACTTGAAATCCATTTATGAAACAAGGAGACCTTGGAGAATCGAGAAATCTTTCATAGAGGCTTCCTCCATCCTTAAAATAAGGAAGAACTATGAATACGGAATATATGTAAGACTATCTTGAATATAAGATGAAATCTATAATCCGGAAAAGACATTAAAAATGTAAAAAAAAGCATCAAGTATATTTTTCAGAAGTGCGCCTCATTTAACAGTAACGGTGGCAGCGCATCATTGAGAGATGGGCCGTGCTATGAATTCGCGCGGCTCGGCTTCACCGCACATTGGCTTACACGTTTCCTTTTTTAATTCGAAAACTGCAGCGAATATCTCAAAATAATATAAAACTTTTTTGTTTCTCTTGATTTATTTTATGTTCCTAATGTGAGATCTACCTTATTTCTGAGACACCCTGTATATTTGTATCAATTTTCCAAATAAATCAATTGTATTAAAAATTATAATGTAAAAAATGATTTAAATTGTATTTAATAAACTGATAAGAGAAAATCAGAGTCAATGATATAGAGCTGATAAGACATACAGCCTATAGCCTTAGAGACCCTATGTATGTGCTATTAGATTGCTCTATATAGGCGCCATTAGAGCTGATAAGGGCAAATTAGAGTTTAACGCTTATCTCAACTAAGGACTTTAAGGCCTTTATAAGACTTAATACTTTATATTAATAATAAGCTAAAGCCTATTATTGGTTCTTAATAAGGGGGGGATTCTAAACCAACAGGAACTATCGACAATTACAAATTGCCAATTTCTCCGAATTTCCTTTAAATCCTTTATAGATCCATTAAATTCTTTTACACAATAAAAGTACGCACAAAAAAAAAAAACAAAAAACCACATTAAATTTGACGATAAAATCGGAGAAAAAATTCAAAGTTCACTTTCAGCTCTCACAGTTGTCATCTCAGGTTATAATTCCTTTAGTGCAGAAATTCTGTAGATCGTATGTATCAAATATCTTCCCCGGAAGCGTGATATGCATAAACAATCATGAGTTTGCAAAATTATGAATGAAAAATTATGAGTAGTCGATGAGTAGTCGTATAATACAAACGGCTTTAGGATCCCCTTAAGCCGTATTTCACGGAGCCGAACCGTTTGATGACATCCTCACTATTCCGCGCAATGATTTACCATCAGATGAGCATACCCTTGTATTTATTTCATATATGTATGTATTTAACGATTGCAAAGGATTTTGTCCCCTCTTTCTCCTTCTCCCTGCCCACGCGCGCTAACAACTTTTCGCATATAGCAAAAGCCATCGCACCGACGAGATACTATTAAAGATAGTCAGCGCTTATTCGAAAGTTCGTGTGACTGTTAAAATTTAAATGATTAAGAGTAAAAAACTGATAATACTAATTTCATCAAATGATTTATTAGTTTCATAAACATTTATATATATCTAAAACTTAATAACACGAACTGTAATTTTAATATTATCGTCCGAGTTTGATTATCAATAGAGATGATAATTGTAGAGAAAAAATTGTCATTTTTCAGTAATATATAAGATATTATAACATTAAAAGTATGCGTACTTATTTATACAGAATTTATATAATAAAAAATCACGAATTTAATAATGTATTATCAAAATATTTACATTAATAATCACAAATTTTTATTATCAGAGATGAGGTAGTTATTCTAAATAATTACCTAAATTAATATAAAACATAAATCATTTTTTTTATAACAGCTTATAGATAATTAATTTAATCATGTTTTGATCAATGATGACTCACCTCTTCACCATTTGCTTGCTCTGTTGATTTTTCAGGATATACACCAGCCCTCAGGAATGACGCCTTCCAAGAGTCAACATCATCTTGTGTTTCACAACTTAACTCCAATTGTTTGTAATCCTTATAAACATTTCTTCCTTCTGGATTGAATAACGCAAACAGATGACGACGCGACATGAAACCTTGTTCTAAATCACGTAATTTTAGTCCATCCAAAGGCAACATATATTTCTTTTCACGTTCCTTTGTACATAAAAATATACTAAATTTAGCATTGTTTTTGGATAATAGTTTTTTTTTCAATATAAAATTACAATTTTTATCATTTTTAATATTAATTTAAATAATTGATTAATAATTATGAACAATATTTACTTCTTCGTCCTTAAACCAGGAGATACTTTCTGATGTTAAAACAAACCAGTAATCTCTCGAACCACCCTTCATAATACCGAGATTATGTATGCACATATAACCTTTACGAATTACTTGATTGCCTAATGTGTGCCGCCCAGATTTAACAGCATTCTCCGAGGATTGCTGTGCACTGTAACATAAATAATAGTATATAATGAAAAATAAAAATTTCATATATCCAACTGCAAGGATTGTTGCCATCAAAATTTACATTATATAGCCAGTTATAAATAAAAAAACAGCAAAATCTTAGCATCCATGTTTTAAGTAAATGTACTATACTGTAGAAAGAAATAAAATTAAAAATGTTTTTTTATTGTAATACAGTTTTTATGTTACACAATTTCAATTATGCATATATAGAGAAAAGTCCTCTATTATGAGGCGCCTAATATGAGCGGCATTTCTGCTAAACTAATAAATCTATCTATCTATTGGTTCCACCATGAATTTGTTGCTTTTGGATTGAAAATATACTATTTAGTTAGAAGATTCATTATTAGAGCATGCCTGTAGTCATTGTAAAAAAAAGATTTTAGAATTTAGATGTCTTCAAATTTCATTGAGATGATTAATGTGTTTATTATTTAATAAGTAAATATTGGGCAATAAATTCTTCATGTAATGATAAAGTAAGATTGTACTAATAGAAAAGAGATATGATGAATTAATTACAGAAGTTAGATTTGATGATTGTAGAACTGTAAGGCAATCGTAAGATGGAAATCGTAATATGAGATACTCAGAATATTCTAATATCAGAGAGAAACCTGAGAGTGGACATTCCAGTTTTTTTCGTGTATCAAATCTCGTAGGATAATATTCACGTTTTTGTGGTTCTTTTTCATATTATTATTGAATTAGACAGAAATCAACTTTGATTATTCGTTCTTATCCATTTTTTTTCCACTAATGTGAAATAATTTATGCTCCTATGTCACAGTAAAAATCGTTGCTATAACTGTTACTGTACAATAATAAAAAGGACAATCGAAATGAACATCGAATGCCTATTTCTGCGAGGCTTCGTTTCAACTACCTGAAGATGAATTCTGATCTTATAATCCATCGCATATTTATTTTTCGGAGATTGTTTCTCTTATTTTCATTTTTATACAAAAATGAATTTTTAGTGCAAAAATGAAAATAAGAGAAACAATTTCTAATGATCTTGATCTTAACAAATTTTATCTAGGACATGATCCTGAACAACATTCAAGAGATATTAGCCATCTGTAGGAAACGGGATCTTAGATAATGCTAATGCCGGCGGTGCTGGACTTGCAAGATTTATAATTCGAAAAGTATTTAATGAAAATGAACTTAATTATAGTGTTTTGGAAAACTCTCGACATGATCTACAAGAATGTGCAATAAAAAATAGGGGATTCCATCTAAGAAATTGAAGGTACCTTCATATAATCTTCAAGCAATTATTCAAGGTCAAACTAATAACATCATCTATGTCCCTCTCAAAGCCATATTTTTATTTGAAACATTTTTCTAAGATCAAAAATAAAAATATTTGGAACACTCTGTATAGCAAAAATAAGACGTTATTTTTTCAAACTTTTTTATTAATAACTTTTTAATGAATAATGAGCGACGGCTAAAATCTGTTGAATGTCTTTCAAGGAATGACCATCAAGGATTTCATCATTCAGGATGATGATCTTGACAACATATACATGTCAAGATCAAAGTCATCAGAGGATAATCCTCTGCATAATTACCAGTTTTTTTTATTGCAATACTGATACTTTCCGTTTTATTATCGAATCTCATATTAGGACCACCATTTTTTTACTTTTTAGTTTTTTAATTAAAAAAAAAATAGAATTTCAATTAAATTTTAATGTTATAAACATAACATTATCTCAAAGCTTATTAAATTCCCTTCAAAATGATCTATTATTTTTTTAAATTTTGCTCATAGCTCATAGATTTCTAGCATTTACCCAAAATGAACTCGATATCTCATAATAAGGACTTTTCCTCTATTATTAATTAGATATTTTTCAATTAAGAATAATATATATTAGATATTTTTACTTTACACGGAAATTAATAATATACACAGAATAAATATAGACAGTACTTTTTCTTAGATTTCTATATATTGGATTAGGGAAAAAATCCTTTTACAGGTTGGTAAAAAAGACTTTTTTAGCAATCCATATTATTCTATTTTTAAAAAAATTGGCAATTACCATTTGATAGAACAACATTCAGCTTAGAATCTATATTTGTAATTGTAATATGATGATTTTTAATGGAGTTACGAGCAATAAAGTCAGAATATTCCTTTTTACTTATCTTATGAGTACAAAAAATCGTGGGAATATTTTTAAAAAATGACTTTATAAGAAAAGCTTCAACTATCATGATGGTCGAAAATTTGCTCAAATTTTTTTGGGCACGCTACAACAGCTCTACAAAGTAAAATAAAAATTTTTTCATTTTTTTTCAGCTCGTAGTTTTCTATATGTAAAAATTACAAAACTCACATAAACTCAAAAAATATTTAAAATTTAAATTTTAAAAAGTGTTTTAAAACTTAAAATTTAAATTTTGATCATTTTTAATAAAGATATTAATAGGGAAAGATTTTTTAATGTAATTTGTAAAGGGATTTTTCCTCTAATTTAATATTACATTAAACTGCTAACTCTGCTCTTTAAGTGCTGACAAAAATTACCAAGAAGTAGTATGCATGTGCAGAATAAGGCATTCGATCATAGAGAAGTATATAGTATAATAGCTTGAATCAATCACAGAGAGATACACAACATTTTGAATCAATCATGGAAAGGCTGGTCACATAACCCATAGTGGAAAAGAATATAAGGTGAAACATTTCGATGGATGCACAATCATTTAAAACTAGTGGCGAGCGGTGAACCAATCAAATATGTCCGGTGAAGTAAAATTCAATATGGTCGCATGACAAAAATCATATGGTATTGATGAAAACTATCACAACTGTTTGCATTTGAAATGTTGTGTTTCCTCATCGGGCAAATTTGATTGGTTGAAATTTTAAGCATATCGCCATTATGCGCAATGTTTCATTTTATATTGGGTGCGTTTAATGAAAAATCACTGAGCAAAAAAGGGATTAATAGGTGCATTCAGAACGACAATCGTTCACAAACACTCAGTGAGTGGTTGTCGTTTTGAATGTATTGAATCTACGATTAATATATTTATTATAATTTGTAAGATGAGCAGTGGAGCGTAATTATAAGTCGCTCCATCGCTCACTGAGCGCTACATAACCTTACGGCTCAAACACATTAGAAAAATAATAAACAGTAATAAATACGTAAGAAAAATGATACTAAAGACTATTTATAATACACAAGTTATTCTACATTATGAATTATAATAAATAAACATATTAATCATAGATTAATCCTTTTTTTGCTCAATGAGCAGTTTTTTTCGCTGAATGCCAATTTCCATCATATATCATAAATCCCTGTTGGCATCTCTCTTTTCTATATGTGACGATTTAATGTGCGCATGTAATTTGCGCGGGCAGTATTTTTACATAAGAAAAAGTGGGAAGTTAGCAGTTTAGTGTAATATACATATAGAGGTCTGTGATCTTAATTTATAAGTCGATTTATATAATCAATATTAAAAATCTTTATTTTAAACAGCATATATGAGAACACAATCAATATTAGAAATTAAAATGTTTATAATGGTCGAAACTGGATCTTCATTGCTTAAATAATTCCATCTTGAATTATCATATATACCATATACATATATACTTGCATATATAATACCATATTGTAGTTTTTCGAACCGAATTGTTTTCCGAACTATAAATGCATATATTAAACTACTCTAATGATCGTATAATTGACAAGCAATTTTAATAATTTGATGCTATAATCAGACCTCATATTATAGATGTTAATATATTGAAGAATTGTTAATAAAAATTTATTGCAAAAAATATCTCGGCCGGGAATCGAACCCGGATCTCTTTATATTCTTTCTGTCTTATACGAGCGTTTATCTAAGCTTTTAAAGGAGAGATCCAGTTTCGATTCCCGGCCCAGATATTTTTCACAATAAATTTTTATTAAGTTTTTTAACATATTAACATCTTTATAATATAATATAAAGCCTGATTGTAGCATCAAATTATTAAAATTGTCAATTTTGTTCGCGATTACTAGAGTAGTTTAATTGCGTTTATAACCCGAAAAAATAATTCGGCGAGCAGTTCGAAAGACAAATATGATATACAGGATCCCATTTTAATATCCCACCAAATAAATTTTTTATTTTTGATCTTAGAAAAAATTTTTCAAACAAAAGTTGTATGGCTTTAAGAGGAACATAAGATGATATTATTAATTTGAATAATTGCTTGAAGGTCACGAAAGTTACCTTCAATTTCTTAAATGAAACCCTCTACTTTTTATTGCACATTTTTGTAGATCATCTCGAGAGCTTTCCAAAACACTATAATTCATTTTTATTAATTTTTTTTGCGAGTTATAAGGCTTGCAAATTACAGCACCGCCGACATTAACATCATGTCCTGAATAACAATCGTTAAGATCAAGGTTATTGGAGATTGTTCTTCTTATTTTCATTTTTGCACTAAAAATTCATTTTTATATAAAAATGAAAATAAAGGAAACAATCTCCTGTGACTTTGATCTTAACGATTATTCAGGACATGATTCAAAACAACATTCAAGAGGGATTAGTCATCGGACACCTTAGGTAATGCTATTGCGATGTTGTAACTTGCAAGCCTTATAACTCGAAAAGTTCTTAATAAAAATGAACTTACCAAGTATACAAGTATGAAATGAATTTGAGAAACAGATGGCGCACTAATGCAGTGTGAAGTACAAAGGTTTAACATTATACGCCATTTTATTGTACCATCAACAAGTGTCAAACGCGCAAAGTGATTTGATTGTGAAAAGTGTTTGCATAGTATTGTGTTGCTATGTTTAATATGACGAAATTTGTATCAAATAAGGAGCGGACAGCATTAATTTTTTGTTTTTATTTGAAGAAAACTGCTGCGGAATCATACCGATTACTTGAAAGAAGCTTATGGTGAACATGCTTAATCGCAAAAAACGTGTGAAC